GTCATCCTCCTCCATCGATGCTGGCGGAGGGCCCTGGAGTGGCTCGCCCCCTCTTGGCAGGGGGCTGGGGGCTGGCGCCCCTGCGCTTGCCGGGTGGGCCCCGCAAGGGACCCGGCCAGGCATCAATCCACCTCCCGATGAGGACCCGAAGATCAACTTCAGCCACTCGCCGCCTATGATTAGTGGAGGAGCTCGGGGCAAGTTGGTTGTGCCCAAGGAGAGCTCACGAGGGAAGAGCGGCGTGCCGACAGGTTCAGGGCGCGCCGCAGGCTGGCCTGCCTCTCCACCCGAGCTTGCACCAAGGGCGGCACGCAGACTCGGGAAAATCAAGGTCGGTGATGGAGGAGAAGCCTGTGGAAGCGGCTCCTCGGCTGGCTCTGCAAGCTCGTTAGGAGGGATCCTGAAGGGCCACAGTGAGCAAAGGGAGCAGCAAGCAAGGAACTACAAGAAGGAAGGACTTACTCATCCATGGCGAAGTACTTCCTGTGCTTCAATGGGCGGAATGGGCGATCTTCACCACCCGAAGCTTCCTTCCTCTTGCGGAGAGCCTCGAAATCTATGCGGAGCCGGCCCAAGCTCGCGGCATGAGGGCCGGCACGCGACATAGGAGCCGAGGCATCAAGACGGCCTACATCAGGGGCAGCAGCCTGAGAGGAGCGGTCAGGTGCCACCTCGTGGTGGCCTGCCGGGGCCTCGAGGGCTTCAGCATCGGGAGCCGCAAGCCGCGCCCTCTCATAGCCACCACCTCGAGAGGGGCTCTGTAAGCTCCGGAGGATGACACCTCAGGAGCCCCGTGCGACATCAGCACCTCAACATCAGGCCCCCCAGCTCCTGCCAATGCTTGCCTCCCAGCATCGACTCCTGAGGCAAGGTCGGCGCGGGCGACTGGGGGAAGGTCTATAGCAACCGGGTTCTCGCGGGGCCCCGCGAGGCCAGCCGGGCGCAGCCCCCATTCGTCAAAGCGGAGCATCTGCCTCACGAACTCGACCCTGTTTGTGCAAAGGTACAACAGGGCGCCTCCATGACCAATGCTGCCAGGAGAGGGGTCGCCAGTTAGGACCTGCAGCACCTTCTTCAGCATCTCAGGCGCGAGATCCCCTTCCTGGAGCCTCATATGGTCCTGACGACCGGTGTAAGCCCACATTGGGCGGGAATGTCGCTGATGAGGAGCGATGCGGCGCCGGAGGAACTCCTTCACCACCTTGGGCGCCGTCACTTCGAGCTTCCTCAGCCTCTCGAAGCAATGCCAGGTGAAAGCGAGCTGAGGGCTCGTAAGTTCCTCGTGACCCCAACCAGGATTGGGAATAGCAGGCAGTGTCGGGTGCGCAAGCAGGGGGATGGGCACCCCAACGTCCACATACAGCCACCGCTCCCGGAACCCGTTCGCAAAAGGTTGGAGGCCAAAGTCGACACCCGAGGCGGCCGTCTCCGGCACGGCCTGGAAGCTCACGCATCCCGAACACCGGGAAGGGTCGGACAAGCGCAAAGAGAAGAAGTGGCGCAGAAGGGCAACGGAAGGAGGAATCCCCACCATGGCCTCGCAGACGAAGGCGAAGACAGTAAGCAGAGTAATGGATTGGGGGTCAAGATGCATCATGTGGATTTGGTAATGGGAGAGCACCGCATTGAAGAAAGCAGAAAAGGGGGGAACCAGGCCCGCCCACAGGGCGTTGACAAAGAATCGGACCTCCATGATGATCCTGTTGAAGGAGGCATGGGACGCGGGATAGACCGTCGTCTTCCCGCACTCGTTGAAGCTGGAGGCGAGCGCGGAGTAGACTTTCTCCAGGGCTTCCAGATTGAGTATGAGTGACTTGTCGACGACGGGAGCAGCCACCGGAGGCGCGCTAGGCAAAGACGCAGGTTTCTTCCCCTTGTCTTTTTTCGTTAGCGCCATGGCAGTGGAAAGGGGAAGAACTCAAGATGGATTGGAGGCGAAAGCAGAGGCTCGAGGAGGAAAAGGGAACAAGAAGCACGCAGGCGGCAAAGGGAGGATAACTGTGTACAAGCCTCGTGGCCGCCTAGCCAGGCGCATAATGAGGGAGCGTGGGGAAGCGGAGGCGTCCATGTCCAATCAACCGCCACGCGGCGCCCAAGGCCGCAGGCTGATGGGGTCCGCGGCGCTCCGCACTTGCCCCTTCGCTTCTCCGCCAAGCCAAGTCCAAGCGCGCCTTGGGCCCAGGGGCTACTGTCGGCGTTCTGGGAACGGGGGTCCCCAGACTTGCCTGCCTACGGCCTGCGATGTGGCTCGAGTGGTGGCCGAGTATGGCCCATCTTCATCAGCGCAAGACTCAAGACCCTCACGGGGCGGATGACACAAGAATTCCTCAGGAACGGCCTCGCCAGGTGGGCTCGCGAGGAGGCGGAGAGATCAAGGCAGGGTACCTCGCGAGGTGCTCGTGACGCAAGCCATGACGATCGAGACCAGGCGGGCGCCAACCTGTGCAGTGTCCTTGTTTCGTCTTTGGTGCAAAGGGGGCAAGCACAGGCGTGGAGTACCGAGGCATCAGGCAAAGGTTGCCATTTCAGTGCAACGAGACCAAGACCAGCAAAGCGACAGGATGGAGGTCACCATGGAGCCCAAGATGGCGTCATCGCCAGTGCCTTTGGCAGCCGAAGACCAACTTTAGTCAGGATAACTTGTACTAGATGTTCCCCTTCAAAATGACCTTTGTTGGTGCCCTTCCCGCTCAATATTTGGGAAGAGGACCAGGGCCTCTATAAATAGAGCTAGCCACCACATTAGAGAGGGGCCAACGAGAGGGAGAGAGAGGGGAACCAGAGAGAGAGAGAGGCGATCAAACTCACCCTAGCAGTTCATCGCACCAGCACAAGAACACCTCTCGCGAGGCTGTTCTTCCCTTGTACTGTTCATCATCAGCCCCTGAGGCAATCCAGCACACGACACACTTGAGTAGGGTATTACACTACAACGGTGGCCCGAACCAGTATAAATCTTGTGTTCCTTGTGTTGTTCATCCTTTAGCCTAGATTCCAGCGAGACGATTGGACGTGAGTCAGTAGGGGAAAGATCTTCGTGCGCACCCAAGAGTTCGAACCTTAAGGGTTTGCCGAAACTCAACATCCGACACCTTCAGGCGCGTGCTGCTTGCAACCGGCGCGTAGCGGCCACCATGTTCAGGTCCTCCTGAGGGTGCCTCTCTAGCCGTGCCTCTCCCCCTGGGTTCCGCCTGATGGATGGATGTATGCCACCATCTTCAAGTCTTCTCGAGGGTGCCTCCTTGGGTTCCTGCCTGATGGATGGATGTATGCCACCGTCTTCAAGTCCTCTCAAGGGTGCCTCCTTGGGTTCCTGCCTGCTACCCGGACGAGGCACAAAGGAGGAGCTGCTGCAAACTTCCCTGCCCAGGTGCTGCTCCTGGACCCTTGTACGCGTATGTGTTTCCTCGCCTGATACACGAGGGATAGATGAATGTATTTATTGTTAGTTAACTTGAGAGATGGTACTCCATGTTGTATCTTGACACAAGCTATCCGCTTGCCGCTGTCGTCCTCCTTATCAGCGGCGCAGCCGGCGGGATAGGCAAGGGTGCATGTGTGTGCGCGAGGGCGCCGGTGCCGGCCACGGCCTCGAGTCTTGATGTGTGTTGCCTCCACAGTTGCGAGCGCGTCACTCGCCGTGGTTTCCCTTCGGCCCCTCAAAGCTTATCTGCATCTGCATGTCGACATTGCCGCCATCGGGCGCGTCTTCTCTTCGTGCGTCCGTCCCGATCTTGTCGATGTTGCCGCGAGGGCGCATCTCCTCTTCGTCTTCTGTCGATTGGCCTCTCTCATCTCCTTCCTTCTTTCTCCGTGTCGGTTCCCTCAACTGGGCTCCTCCTCACCGCCACATCGGCATGCTCGAACTGCATGAGCGGGCGGCAAACGGCCGCCGGAGCATACGCATGCATGAACCGCACATGCTTGCATGCTTCCTCCGATCTTCTACGTAGACCATCTGCAACAACACATATTGACTATACCTTACGTTGTTCTTCTCCCCGACGCATGTATTGCCATCGCCGGCGCCCGGTTCAGCGTGCGCGCTGTCGTCATCGTGTTGTCACCTCCTGGGTGCGTGTCTCCTGGCACACAGTTGCCGCCGGACCGGGCCAGACATACGTGTTGCCTGGCGAGTCCACCGCCGTCGGCTCGTCTTCCTGATCTGCTCGACGCTGTCGCTACGGTAGCGTCTCCTCCTTCCGGCTTCCGGCTCCTATGTACGTTGACGTTGCCGCCATCGGGCACGTCTCCTCGACGCTGCTGCCGTGGGCGCGTCTCCCCGATGCATGCTTTATTATCCGGTTGACAAGCTTCACAATCTACAGTCTGCATGGTGGAGAAGATAAAAAGAATGATATAAAGGGATTAAGTAATATGCATGGTTCCTGCATGGATTTGGCCTTGATGAAAGTCTTGACGTTGCTGCCACCAAGCGCCTCATCGACGCCATGGAGATGGCATCGGGGCTTCTTTTCTGGACGCCGTCTCGTCGGCGCGTCGTCGACCGTCGCCAGGGCACAACGTCATCCGCAGCCGCCTTGGTGCAACAGCACCATGTGCTAGGGCCTTTTCTAGGGTGTGTTTGGTTCCAGTTTGGAACAGTAGTCGCATTGCATAGCCTTCTCAACCCAACCCACTTGAGGAAAAATAGGCCCTAATATGCCATACGCAACTTGTTTGGTTGCCTATATCCCTAGTCTCTGCATTAGGTAATACCCAAGTGCACTTTGTTTGGTTGGCTGCATTGGCCCTAGCGGCACATGAACACGGTGTTTGGTTGCATACAACGTACATGTTGTGCTTACCGTGTACCCTAATTGATGAGCTTACCCACAATGATCACAACTAGCACACCAATGCCACAACACATCAATGGTGATGAACTGGGCGAAGATGATGAAGTTCTTCAGCTTCAGGCCGAACTGATGATCCACCTTAGCAGCTTCCACTTTGACAGCTCCAACCTTGGCACTGTCGACACTGCTGCCTCCGTGCTTTCACACCCAGGCGGAGTAAGCTTGTTCTGCTGCCTGCCTAGTCTTGAACCCTCTATAGTTGCAGTTGCTATACGATGCCACTTGTGCATTGGCTTCTTGCCATGAACTATAAACCCCTGGAACCTCATCGATGAACACGACATACCACTTGCCCTAGTAATGCACAAGAGGAAGAGTTGAAGCAGTAAATCAATGGAGCACAAGTAGCAAGCAAAGTAGCATACAAACAACAATGGAGCAAAAGAGAAGTAAAGCATGCATGATCATACGACATAGCAAGTTCAACCTAGCACTACCTTGGTGTTAACCTACCACCACATCCAAAAGAGGGTGTCGTCCTACCACCACATCCAAAAGAGGGTGTCGTCCTACCACCTCAAGTTCACCATCAGCGTGAGGGGTTAGTATATACCACCTCACCAAAATATACAGACCATCAAATAGTTTTTGAGCCCTAGCTACACAAAATGTACGTTGTCATCGTCATCGCCGTCGTCGTCGCCACCGCCATCGCCGTCGCGGATCATGCACGCTCACAGGCAACACTACTCTAGTAGTAGTGCTTGCCCAGCCAGCTCCTGAGCCACACCACCCTGTGAGCGTCGGCCATGGCAACAAACCCAACACCCTGGGCCTTGTTGTCAAGCAGGTGGCTGAGAGCTGCCATGAGAGCCTCGTCGCTGAATCCACCCTGGGTCATGACAGCGCCATACAGGTCAGGGTGGACGTCGAGGGGCTTGCACTTCCCGATGGTTGTTGCCACCCCCTTCACTGCCTCAGTCATGCTGCAAAAGTCATTGATGTCCTCCTCCATCAGACCTCCTCTCTTCCTCTTCCTATCATGGTTGGGGTCAAATGGCTTGTCGAAGGGCTTCGCAGCGGGCTTGTTAGGGCCATCAAGGAACTTAACATCCAGTGTCCCAGGGAAGTCTGGCATGGAAGAACCAAGAGGCTCACCCAAGCCCATGGCATGCTTCCCAGTTGCCATCCTGAAGGAGAAGATGTGCTGCATCTGGTTGTAGTTCTGGATGGGTGTGTTGAGGAACTCAGCATCCCTTGGGTGGTCGCTACGTCTTGAGCTTGCGTTGGTTTTCCTTGAAGAGGAAAGGGTGATACCGCAGAGTAGCGTAAGTATTTCCCTCACTTTTTGAGAATCAAGGTATCAATCCAGTAGGAGGCTCCTCAAAAGTCCCACGCACCTACACAAACAAACAAAGAACTCGCAAACAACACAATAAAGGGGTTGTCAATCCCTTCACGGTCACTTGCGAAAGTGAGATCTGATAGAGATAGTATGATAAGATAAATATATTTTTGGTATTTTATAATATAGATGCAAAAAGTAAAGATGCAAGTAAAAGTAGATCGAAAGCTTATATGATAAAAGATAGACCCGGGGGCCATAGGTTTCACTAGTGGCTTCTCTCAAGATAGCATAAGTATTACGGTGGGTGAACAAATTACTGTCGAGCAATTGATAGAAAAGCGAATAATTATGATATTATCTAGGAATGATCATGTATATAGGCATCACGTCCATGACAAGTAGACCGACTCCTGCCTGCATCTACTACTATTACTCTGCACATCGACCGACTCCTGCCTGCATCTACTACTATTACTCCGCACATCGACCGACTCCTGCCTGCATCTAGAGTATTAAGTTCATAAAGAACAGAGTAACGCATTAAGAAAGATGACATGATGTAGAGGGATAAACTCAAGCAATATGATATAAACCCCATCTTTTTATCCTCGATGGCAACAATACAATACGTGCCTTGCTGCCCCTGCTGTCACTGGGAAAGGACACCACAAGATTGAACCCAAAGCTAAGCACTTCTCCAATGGCAGGAAAGATCAATCTAGTAGGCCAAACCAAACTGATAATTCGAAGAGACTTGCAAAGATAACTCAATCATACATAAAAGAATTAAGAGAAGATTCAAATATTTCTCATAGATAAACTTGATCATAAACCCACAATTCATCAGATCTCGACAAACACACCGCAAAAAGAGTTTACATCGAATAGATCTCCACAAGAGAGGGGGAGAACATTGTATTGAGATCCAAAAAGAGAGAAGAAGCCATCTAGCTAATAATTATGGACCTGAAGGTCTGTGGTAAACTACTCACAACTGATCGGAGGGGCTATGGTGTTGATGTAGAAGCCCTCCATGGTCGATTCCCCCTCCGGCGGAGCACCGATGAAGGCTCCTAGATGGGATCTCGCGGATATAGAAGGTTACGGCACTGGAAATTGTTTTTCGTTGGCTCCCTGGATGTTTTCGGGGTACGTAGGTATATATAGGAGGAAGGAGTACGTTGGTGGCTGCCTGTGGGGCCCAGGAGACAGTGGCGCGCCCAAGAGGGGTGGGCGCGCCCTCCTATCTCCTGGAGGCCTCGTTTGCTTCTTGACTTGCACTCCAAGTTCTCCGGATCACGTTCGGTCCAAAAATCACGCTCCCGAAGGTTTCATTCCATTTGGACTCCGTTTGATATTCCTTTTCTTCGAAATACTGAACTAGGCAAAAAAACAACAATAGGGCTGGGCCTCCAGTTAGTAGGTTAGTCCCAAAAATGATATAAATGTGTAAAATAAAGCCCATAAACATCTAAAAGGGGTAATATAATAGCATGGAACAATAAAAAATTATAGATACGTTGGAGACGTATCAAGCATCCCCAAGCTTAATTCCTGCTCATCCTCGAGTAGGTAAATGATAAAAACAGAATTTTTGATGTGGAATGCTACCTAGCATAATTCTCAATGTAATTTTCTTTATTGTGGCATGAATGTTCAGATCCAAATGATTCAAAATAAAAGTTCATATTGATAAAAGAAATAGTAATACTTCAAACATACTAATCAAAGCAATCATGTCTTCTCAAAATAACATGGCTAAAGAAAGTTCATCCCTACAAAATCATATAGTTAGGCTATGCTTCATTTTTGTCACACAAAGATGTTCCCAAATTCTACACCCTCGATGACAAGCCAAGCAATTGTTTCATACTTAAATAATCTCAAACATTTTCAACCTTCACGCAATACATGAGCGTGAGCCATGGATATAGCACTATGGGTGGAATAGAATATGATGATGGGGATTGTGTGGAGAAGACAAAAAAGGAGAAAGTCTCACATTGACGAGGATAATCAATGGGCTATGGAGATGCCCATCAATTGATGTCAACATGCGGAGTAGGGATTGCCATGCAACAGATGCACTAGAGCTATAAATGAATGCTCAACAAAAGAAAACTAGTGGGTGTGCATCCAACTTGCTTGCTCACGAAGACCTAGGGAATTTGAGGAAGCCCATCGTAGGAATATACAAGCCAAGTTCTATAATGAAAAATTCCCACTAGTGTATGAAAATGACAACCTATGAGACTCACTACATGAAGAACATGGTGCTACTTTGAAGCACAAAATATGAGACTCACTACATGAAGAACAAGGTTCTACTTTGAAGCACAAGTGTGGAAAAAAAGGATAGTAACGTTGCCCTTTTATTTCTTTCTTTTTCCTTTTTCTTTTTTTTCTTTTTTTATTTTTTTTCTTTGGCCCTTTTTTTTTCTTTTGACCGTTCTTTTCTTTATTTCTTTTTTTTCTTTCTTTTTGGGTAATGCTCTAATAATGATGATCATCACACTTTCATTGATTACAACATATGAGTTACAACTCGAAACTAGAACAAGATATGACTCTACATGAATGCCTCCGGCGGTGTACCGGGATGGTGCAATGAATCAAGAGTGACATGTATGAAAAATTATGCATGGTGGCTTTGCCACAAATACGATGTCAACTACATGATCATGCAATGTCAATATGACAAAAGTAAAGTATGTCATGATGATGATGAACGGAACGGTGGAAAGTTGCATGGAAATATATCTTGGAATGGCTATGGAAATGCCATAATAGGTAGGTATGGTGGCTGTTTTGAGTAAGATATAAGGAGGTTTATGTGTGATAGAGCGTATCATATCACGGGGTTTGGATGCGCCAGCGAACTTTGCACCAACTCTCAAGGTGAGAAAGGGAAATGCACGGTACCAAAGAGGCTAGCAATGGTGGAAAGGTAAAAGTGCGTATAATCCATGGACTCAACATTAGTCAAAAGAACTCATATACTTATTGCAAAATTTTAGAAGTCATCAAAAATCAAGCACTACGCGTATGCTACTAGAGGGATAGATTGGTAGGTAAAGACCATCGCTCGTCCCCGACCGCCACTCATAAGGATGCACAAGCTAGGTACACTTCATGTTTCAAATTTGTTACACAACTTTAACCATACGTGCATGCTACGGGACTTGCTAACTTCGACACAAGCATTCTTTAAATTCATAATGACCCAACTAGCATGACTTTAATATCACTACCTCCATATCTCAAAACAATTATCAAGTATCAAATTGATCATAGCATCCAATTCACTTCCTATGATAGTTTTTATTATACCCAACCTGGATGCCTACCATTCTAGGACCAATTTTATAACCATAGCAAATACCATGTTGTCCTAAAAGACTATAAAAATAATATAAGTGAGTCATGAGAGACTAGCAATTTCTACAAAATTAGGCCACCGCCGTGCTCTAAAAGATATAAGTGAAGCACTGGAGCAAAAACTATCAAGCTCAAAATATATAAGTGAAGCACATAGCATATTCTAATAAATTCTGATCAAGTAGGCTTCTCCCAAAAGGTGTGTACAACAAGGATGATTGTGGTAAAATAAAAAGCAAATACTAATATAATACACGACGCTCCAAGCAAAACACATATCATGTGGCGAATAAAAATATAGCTCCAAGTAAAGTTACCAATGAACAAAGACGAAAGAGGGGATGCCTTCCCGGGGCATCACCAAGCTTAGGCTTTTGTCTATCGTTGAATATCTTGGGGTTCCATGGGCATCCCCAAGCTTAGGCTTTTGCCACTCCTTATTCCATAGTCCATAAAAGCTTTCCCAAAACTTGAAAACTTCACAACACAAAACTCAACAGGAAATCTTATAAGCTCCGTTAGTGAAAGAAAACAAAACCACCATATAAGGTACTGTAATGAACTCATTCTTTATTTATTTTGGTGTTAAACGTACTTTATTACAACTTCTGTATGGTTTATAAACTATTTTATTAGCCATAGATGCATCAAAATAAGCAAACAACACAGGAAAAACAGAATCTGTCAAAAACAGAACAGTCTGTAGCAATCTGTAACTAACGCAAACGTATGTAACTCTAAAAATCCTACAAAAATAGGAAGTCCTGGAAAATTTGTCTATTGATCATCAAAAAAAAAAGAATTAACGCAAAATCATGTTTCTGTGATTTAACAAAATTAAATTCGTGCGTGTAAAGTTTCTGTTTTTCAGCAGAATCAAATCAACTATCATCATAGGTTATCCTATCGGTTCTACTTGGCACAAACACTAATTAAAACATAAAAACACATCTAAACAGAAGGTAGATGCAAAATTTATTACTAAAAAGAAACAAAAGCAAAAAAACACAGATAAAATTTGGTTGCCTCCCAACTAGCGCTATCGTTTAACGCCCCTAGCTAGGCATCAATAATTTTAATGACGCTCACATGAAAGAGAAGAATTGAAGCACAAATAGAGCATCATGAAACACGTGACAAACACATCTAAGTCTAACATACTTCTGATGCATAGGCATATCATATGCAAACAAATTTGCAAGGCAAACAAAAACTAGCATATGCAAGGAATAAGAAAGAGACGATAGCAATCTCAACATGACGAGAGGTAATTTAGTAAGATAAAAATTTCTACGACCATATTTTCCTCTCTCATAATAGTTACATGTAGGAACATAGGCAAATTCAACAAAATAGCTATCACATAACATATTCTTAACACGATCCACATGCATGAAAAGTTGACACTCTGCCAAGATAGTGGGATTAACATTAACTAAAGTCATGACCTCTCCAAATCCACTTTTATCAAAAATATTACAAGATTAAACATACTCCAAATATGTGGGATCTAAAGTTGACACTCTTCCAAACCCACTTTCAATATTATTGCAAACACTATTATCAATCTCATATTCATCATGGGGCTTAAATAGATTTTCAAGATAAGAAGAATCACCCCAATCATGATCATTGCAACAAGTAATAGGCATAGCAAAACTAGCATCCCCAAGCTTAGGGTTTTGCATATTATTAGCACAATTGACATCAAGAGAATTTATAGTAAAATCATTGCAATCATGCTTTTTATTCAAAGAGTTATCGTGGATCTCTTCATAAATTTCTTCATCATAATTTTTAGATTCACGAATTTCAAGCAAAGCTTCATAAAGATAATCTAGTGCACAAAATTCGCTAGCAATTGGTTCATCATAATTGGATCTCTTAAAAATATTAGCAAGCGGATGAGGATCCATAGATCTTAGCAAGCAAAGATGCAAGCGAAAAGAAGGCACATGGAAACACAAGATCGAACGGAAGGAGGGCGAATAAAACGGTAAGGGTGAAGTGGGGGAGAGGAAAACGAGAGGCAAATGGCAAATAATGTAACGCGAGGGAGATGAGTTTGTGATGGGTACTTGCTATGTCTTGACTTGAGCGAAGACTTCGCTGGCAACGGCGCCAGAAATCCTTCTTGCTACGAATTGAGCTTGCGTTGGTTTTCCTTGAAGAGGAAAGGGGATGCAGCAGAGTAGCGTAAGTATTTCCCTTGGTTTTTGAGAACCAAGGTATCAATATAGTAGGAGGCTCCTCAAAAGTCCCACGCACCTATACAAACAAACAAAGAACTCGCAACCAACACAATAAAGGGGTTGTCAATCCCTTCACGGCCACTTGTAGAAGTGAGATATGATAGAGATAGTATGATAAGATGCAAATAAAAGTAGATTAAAAGCTTATATGTAAAAGATAGACCCGGGGGCCGTAGGTTTCACTAGTGGCTTCTCTCAAGATGGCATAAGTATTACAGTGGGTGAACAAATTACTGTCGAGCAATTGGTAGAAAAGCGAATAATTATGAGACTATCTAGGCATGATCATGTATATAGGCATCACGTCCGTGACAAGTAGACCGACTCCTGCCTGCATCTACTACTATTACTCCACACATCGATCGACTCATGCCTGCATCTAGAGTATTAAGTTCATAAAGAATAGAGTAACGCATTAAGAACGATGACATGATGTAGAGGGATAAATTCAAGCAATATGATATAAACCCCATCTTTTTATCCTCGATGGCAACAATAGAATACGTGCCTTGCTGCCCCTGCTGTCACTGGGAAAGGACACCGCAAGATTGAACCCAAAGCTAAGCACTTCTCCCATGGCAAGAAAGATCAATCTAGTAGGCCAAACCAAACTGATAATTCGAAGAGACTTGCAAAGATAACTCAATCATACATAAAATAATTTAGAGAAGATTCAAATATTTCTCATAGATAAACTGGATCATAAACCCACAATTCATCGGATCTCTACAAACACACCGCAAAAAGAGTTTACATCGAATAGATCTCCACAAGAGAGGGGGAGAACATTGTATTGAGATCCAAAAAGAGAGAAGAAGCCATCTAGCTAATAACTATGGACCCGAAGGTCTGTGGTAAACTACTCACAACTGATCGGAGGGGCTATGGTGTTGATGTAGAAGCCCTCCATGGTCGATTCCCCCTCCGGCGGAGCACCGACGAAGGCTCCTAGATGGGATCTCGGGGATACAGAAGGTTACGTCGGTGGAAATTGTTTTTCATTGGCTCCCTGGATGTTTTCGGGGTACGTAGGTATATATAGGAGGAAGGAGTACGTCGGTGGCCGCCTGTGGGGCCTAGGAGACGGGGGCACGCCCAGGAGGGGTGGGCGCACCCTCCTATCTCTTGGAGGCCTCGTCTGCTTCTTGACTTGCACTCCAAGTTCTCCGGATCATGTTCGTTCCAAAAATCACGCTCCCGAAGGTTTCATTCCATTTGGACTCCGTTTGATATTCCTTTTCTTCGAAATACTGAAATAGGCAAAACAGCAATGCGGGCTGGGCCTCCAGTTAGTAGGTTAGTCCCAAAAATGATATAAATGTGTAAAATAAAGCCCATAAACATCCAAAAGGGTAATATAATAGCATGGAACAATCAAAAATTATAGATACATTGGAGACGTATCAGTGGTCCTAAGAATGAAACACACGTGTTGTTAGTTGCGATTAGGAGTAGGCAATGGTGGACAGTATGAAAAGGAAGAGGGCTGTGAGCTAACCGCGACATGGCCGGCGTAGTGCTCTGCCTCCAGAACTATGGAGCAAGTGTTCTCATCCCTTGAGGCGCCCCTAAGGTCTCTCAGCTTGGACACTTGAATCCATAGACTTATCCACTTCCTCAGGTGTTTGTACACCTGGGTGGCAGACACCTCTTGCCCACAAAACTCGAACACCTGCTTTGCAACGGTGTTCAAGTGCACCTCCTTGAAGCCCTTGTCAGTCCTAACTCCACTAGAGATGAGCTCACACATCTTGTTCAGCACGAACATGCACATGAACGGCTGCCACTTCATGTTGTTGGACCTACCATCCTTCTTTGCCTTTGCTGCTGCTACCTTGATATTTCCATCTCAAACATAGGTTGCGAGTCCTCGACAAACGATGGAGCAAACTGGTTGTCGGACACGACAATGGCCTGACTAAGATCTTGCGTCTGCGTGGTCATGTCCTACAATCGTAGCACGCATTGACAGTGAGCATAGCACACAACATACAGGACAATCCATGAAAGCAGGAGCATACATGTACATGGTTCATTACTATCATAGCAAGCACATGCTTCATCACTATCATACTAAGCATACCAGACAATCTATGAGCAGAAACATACATCTACAACAAACAACATGCTACAAATGGACCACCAATAGCTACAAATCACATAGATAAGCATGATTCAACACAAGCACAAGGTTCAACTTCAAACTCTACTACTAATCTAGCCTACCACATGCTTGAACATCTAGCCCTACCACAAATTGCAACCGCAACATAGCAACCAATCATATCAGACCACTAATCAACCATGCATCTAGATCAAACCCTAGCTGCACCTCAGATCTTGCTAGAAGGAACAGAGAGAAAGGGGGTTGAACTCACAGAGGCCATGGCTGCAGCTTGAGGACGAGGGGGGACGATGGTGGAAGATGAACGCCGGCCAGTGAAGGAGCTCCGGCGCCGTGGACCGCACTACAAAAAAAAAGACACATCCATGACATTTTGGGCCAAACGAAACTTTTTTCTGTCATACATATGACACTTCTATGATGATAATTGTGACAAAACCCGGTATCATCATAGATGTGGTGGGCTCCTACTTCTATGACAAAAAGTCATGACAGAAAATGGGATTTTCGTCCTGGGCGGGCCGGAGATGCAGCTGCATGACATTCTTTGGGCCGTCCATGACGGAAAAACCATGGTAGAAGCGAGGGCGAGGAAAATTTCGGGGAGTTCCCGGTTACGGTGGGTGGTCCGGGGCCGAGCGATGCACGTTTCTCTCGTACACGTACGCACGTGTGTGCGGGGCATCGGCTCTAACTGAACCCGAGCGAGGCGTTGGACTCTAACTGAACCCGAGCGATTGCACTGCAGGCTACGCGTTACTGAACCCGAGCGATCGATCGATGGCTGTTAACAGAACCTGATCGAGCGATTCCTTCGC